ACAAATGTGATTTCCATTACTTATAATATTTGTCAAAATTTAATATACATGTCAAAATTATAAATGGCTTCTTACAGCTTTCTCAGGAGGCAGCCGAGAGAAATAACAAACTCTGTGGACATTTGTATAGATGGATTGAGTAAGTGGGTACCTGCTTTCCATGTATCACTGCCTGGGTTTCAAGATGACACATCAGGAAAGACATGCAACTATGGCACTGTAGGAACAGCAGAGATACAGCTTACTCTCAATTTAATCTGTCTTTTATTTTCTTCCTCCAAAGAAGGGAGTAAGAAAATTGATAAAGCTTCATGTTATTTTTATTTTTTTGTAGAAGAGCCACACATCTGCAGCCTATCAAAAATCATTACAATTAATATAACTTTAAAAATGAAAAAGAATAAAATTCATAATCTCCATTCTGTATCTTCTGTATTTAAATAGGAAGTTTTTAATTGTAACAAAAAATGTTTATCAAACATGTCAGATATCCATTATTAAGATACAACAGCATTATTTTTTAACCTCTTCCAATAGCTGCTGTTTCACTGAATTTTTGAAATTACTGCCTTTCTGACAACATTAAAACATTTTAGAATCACAGATTTGGCAAATTAAAAGCAGTCCAGTGTCCCCATTAAGGGTAATTGATTTGGAAGCATTCATTTCCATTTCTGCTCTGTTATACTTGATGGAGTAAAGAAACTGATGGGCAGAACCATAAGGAGCCTATTTCCCTCTGAAATATCTAGGTGTAGGATTGGGCTAACTGAAATTATTATCTATTAACTTGAGGATAACTTTAAGTCTGCAAGAGATCACACAGCTGTAGTATTTAGGTAAAAAAAAAACCAACCAAAAACCAAAAGAGAAAGCTATATGCAGTAGAGTTAAAATAATCTGTAATTGTAGAGGCTTTCATTTGCTGTCTGCCCAAATAATCTTCTTCATGCACAGAAATGCTTCTTATTTGCTTTCCAGGTGAGAGAAATTCCCTGGCTTGTTTGTCCTGCTGTCTGTATATCATCCTAGCAGCCAGAGTAGAATTCTGCTTTGATTCGGGAATCCATTGCAGCATAATAATATGATTGTTTCAAGTAATATATTCCTGTAGTAGCAACACCAAACAAGTCTATTTTTGGACCAATACAAGGAATAAAAACAACAGTTAATCTGGTCTGGTCATAGGGAAGGAGAGGTCCCTGACTCTGAAAACCTTTACCATCATTGTTTTGCAGTTTCCTCTTTAAAATCCTGTGCCCACAGAATTGCAGAAAATACGGCTGGTTTCCTTTAAAACGTCTAACAATTTGAACCCAGTTCATAAGAGCAACTTTTAAAAAATACAGGCTGAAAGTTTAGGCCCCACTGAAGTCAGTGGCAAAAGTTCTGTCAGCTTTCAGCGAGGTCGGATTTTCATTCCTGATATTGATTCAGCTGCTACCTTTAGATACAACAGTTTTAAGGTTGTTTCTACAGAAAGTCAGTGTCAGGTGTGTTTATTATTTTAAACCACACCATTTCTTTAGAAAAGTAAATATCTGAGTACCTTTGCATTTCACTGAGCAAGATAGGAAGTCTGACAGGAGGCATGCCTGTGTTTCACACACTTTTAACATATATTTAATTGAAATGGCTTTATGGAAACTACAGAATGAAAGCTGCTTTTATTCTCCTCTTCCTCTGAAAGGGTGTTTCTATATGTAACCAGGAGGTGGCATTCCTGGGTAAAAGTTAAAGAAACTCATACACAAACTTTCTCTTTTGCATATGAAAGAGAAAAAGGTTTCTTACTGTAGTGGAAGTTAGTCAATTACCTGAGGCTTAAACTAATGCAATAAATTTGCTTTCTATAGTCTTTGTTTTACGAGAAGTGGCAGAGTTATCCAGTAGTAGACATTAATCTTCATGATGAGACAGCAGGGATCTGGCAAGTTATATTCATCTTCCTGTAAAGTATTTGATAGTAAAAGTCCTAGTCTTCACTTATGTCGTTTTGTTCCTCCAAATAAGCCAGTTTGCAATAATTCATTGACCACAATAGTACCCACTATAATACTGTTATAAGAACAGCTAGAAAAAATGAGGGGGAAAAAAACCCAGCTGAATTTTATCCAGTCAATGAATCTTAATCAGATTTTTCAAAGTCTGATCATTCCCATTTGTGATCCAGTTGGTCTATGGAGTATTGCCATATTTAACATCTGTGTCACATCATGCCTTTCCTGTTGCCTCATTGATCAACAGACAACATGTGATGTTTCCCAGATGTTCAAACACGGCAGATCCCAAAAGACCTATTAAATTACACTGAAAGCAAAACAACATCTATGTTGTAAAAGTTTTGTTAAATTCAGGTATGCTGAATATTCACAAACTTGCTACAAGATACTTACTGATATTCAAATTGCTTTTAAAAATCAGTCAAACTCTTTGAAATGTCCACGTTGTGTATTATATAAGGACTCTGTGTCACAGAGTAGATAAAATTTTCTGTTCTGCAATATAAAGCAATTAAAATAGAATTAAGCATCTACTTACCCATGGGATAAGATAAACCACTGGAGTTTTTACTTAATTTTACTATTTGTCTCCTCTCAATACATGCAATCTGTGTCCTTGCAAAATTTTACTCAGATTTCTTGATGATTATATGCTTTTTTCTCAGATAAAGCTGAATAAATAATGATTTTTAAAAGCTTGTGCATTGCATTTTCTAAGCAAGGCAAGGCAGTATGTGCTGTTGTTCAATGTGGCCTTTTTCCACTGAAAAACATCGTTATAAAGATCAGGATTTACTAAGATGTTACTTAAGCCTTTGTTCTGTACATGAATAAGAGTGACATGAAATCCTAGATTGGATTTCAGACAGCAAATGTGATCCAGTTTACACCAGCATGGTACGACATTCTGCTTTGAAACTGAATGATACAGTAGTTTATGATACAGTAATTTTAACATTACTATGAATATCCTTCACACCTTTCTGAAGCTAGTGCTACTCTTCTAGCAACATTTCAAATTCAAATTTTGTGCTAGCATTTTCAGCCATGACAGTCTCAGCATTTTCTGATGAACACAAGCAGCTGTATGTAAAAAAATCAGTACCTTTATTTTGTCACCTGCGAATCAGCAGCACAGAGAACTCAGGTGCCTTCTGTTTAAATTAAAGCAACGTTTCTCCACATTACTATGACTCATCAAAAGTTTATTTTGCCTTACTCTTTAATATGAAGAACATAGCTATTTTAGAAAGGCCATCTCAAAGAGAGATGTTCCTTCCGTGCTTATTGATGATACCATCAACATTTGTTTTTCTCTTAAATCAAATAGGCTTTTACAAAAGGTTGTTTTTTTTCTTCCCCAGAAAAGAGGTTAAGAAATTTCAGTTCAGAAATGGCCACACATTTCTTTTTGGTATTTTCCAGTAGAAGAAGGGTCTGTATTTTTCCAGCCCAGCCTTTCCTGGTGGATTTGTTACCTTGCTGTACCCCCATGAAGCAGCTCCCGCTGGCACCCAGGCTCGGCTCCCACTGCTGTGCTCAGACTGCAGCTCCCACGCTGCTCCCGGAGCAGCCCCACGCAGGGATCTGCACTTGGGGGAATGCAGTCCCTGGAGATAACACATCCACAAAGGGATCAGACAGCCACACCAGCAGCTTGTCTGAAGTACTGCTGCGTCACTGACAACGATGAGATTTGAAGTTTTAAGTGATGTTTTCTCTGATTTGGTCAGAAAATAGAAATGTTTCCATTTAGGGCAATAGATTTATATAAAAGAAAACATCTTACAGGTTTTTTCCAATGGTTCATCAAGTTGAAAACTGCAAGTAAGGAGGAAATAAAAATGCTCTGGGTATCTTGGATTAGTAATACTCCAGTATTTTCAGGTTTGTCTCCACTGTGGAGTAATTTTGGACAGTCATATCTTTATTTCAATTTATATACATAACTAATTTTTGTTGAGCAGTCTAGAATCGTCTGAGAGCACTGAGTGCCAGGTGTATGTTAATTACAAAACTATTTTTTTTTTAGTAATAAGAACAGGAACAACATAGGCACCTAAAAGTTGCAACATCTCCAAATTGGAGCTGTCCAGGAGTCCATCCACATGGTATAATTTGCAAGATTAGGATTGCTAATTTTTAGAAGCTTCAGAATGACAGAGCTGCATACACAAAAAAGTAGGTTGTTGAGTTTTTAAAATTAGAGTATCTACTTATAGTACAGGCATATGTAACTTAAAAAAAATTCTCTGTCTAGATTTTCAACTCACCTAAATTGTTTATATGTATTTTTAAAAGAAATACATAATTAGAGCCATCTTTATTACTTAATGGCATAAGACCTAACAAGCTTTTGTTTTGTTATTGACACTTGCAGAACAGTCAGAGATTTAGCAAAGTGAGGACAGAAGGTATGTGCAGTATCACAGAGAAGCATGTGGAATACAAACACAGGAAGGAGACAAGAAAAGCAAAGATCTGGATAATGGTAAAGCAACGCATATGGAAAGTCAGCTTGAGAAGAACAGTCACATATGCCAAAAATAATTCACTGGCTACATTTAGTTAGAAGATCTGGGGAGCAAACATAAGCATCCTAAACAACGGCAGTAGGTTAGCCAGAGTGTCTGCTGGCCCCAGGGTCACATATTCCTGCTCTAACCGCCAGCAGCGGCTGTTTGGAATGAGGAGCTTTCCAAGTGCTGGCCAGTGCTGGCTGTGGAGAGAAAACTGTCTGTTCTTTTCCGCTTCTCATGATTTCTTATGAAATGTATACTGCAATGTAAAGCCCTGTCAGAAATACCTGAGCCAGCTGATCTGTGCAGAATGTGCTGATATAAAGAACTGCTTGGTTGTGTTCTAGAAACAAAAATGAACTGTTTGCCTTCTGCACATGAACATATCTTCATATCACCAATTCTTTTTGTTTAATTATAAATAATTATTTCATTTAAATATATAGAAAGGCTGCTAAAACAGGCACATGAGATATCCTTACTATCCTGGGCATGTTTTGCAGGAGGATTTTCTTCTGGTTGTTGGGGTCATTTGCTGTTGGCATTGCTCCCAAGTTTGTTGTGACATCTGTAAAATGATGAGATGGATGACATTTGGGACCAATTTCACCGAGTCTTTCAGTCTTTTGGATTTCACTCTGGAATACTATATTTTATATTACTTCATTTGCTTGGATGAAAATAAGTGTCAATTGAGTTTAGTAACCCCTCTTTTTTCTAGGATTGTCAAACTAGATGAATCTGAGCCTGCTTTATTCTGAAGGCTTTCTTTAAGTTTGCTCTGGTAGAGTGGGTTACTGGCCAACTGTTCTTTCCAAGTGCCATAGTTTTCCTAGAGGATCAGCTTTTCAAAATGCTTGTTTTCTAAACAATAATTTTCAAGTATGTTCTCTTGCCACAATTTTGATGTCTAACATGAAAACTAACTAGGTAATCTGCACTTTCATTACATACTGATAATCTTTACAGACCATAAATGGATATCACATCACATCTGATAGTCTTGGTCATTGCTGTTTGTAGTTGCACTTGTCCTGGATGTCCAGGTGAGTACATCCAAAGTCTTCTTCTAATGCCTTGTGTTGAAATGTATTTCATCACTGATGCGCTGAAATTTATCTTTTCCTTAAGGCCTAAATATTAAAAGTGCTTTAATAATGTAGTCAGCATGGCCCAGAATCAAATACAATAGAGTTTCATTGTAAACTCATCTTTCCTCCCTTTTTTATGTTTTCTTTTATGGCAGTAACCACCAAAGACCTATATTTCAGTCACAGTTTTCATTATTTCTAAGAGACATTCAAATGAATGTGGATGTAGTTGGCTACAAATTCTAAGTAATTTCAAATGCTAAGATGCTTGTAGATAATTTTAAAAATACTTCTAGTTTTTATTTTGCTGGAAACCTAATACTTCGTGTGGCTGCTGCTGCAATTTCAGCTGTTACAGGTAAGATGATTTGTTCATTGAAAACCAGACACCTATGAGATTGTTTGCCATATCTTTAGACTGAGTTTCTGGTGACAGTGTTTTTCCCATAGTATTGGCTACACTGAAATACAAGTGAATTATAAATTTAACTTTTATCCAAGACTCTATCTTGTTTGAATTTTGCAGGACTAATTTTTAAGCACAGTATGCCCATGTAAGTAGTCAGTGCATGTTTTCTAGTCACTACCTTGATCTGAGCCCCATTAGGAGTTCTCAGTTTGTACAAATTCCATTGTCCATTTTAGCACACCTGATTCAGTAACATGTTGGAGCCATTAGGAATTCCTCTCAAGCACTTTAATGTTTCCTGAGTAGTAGAACTGTAATTGTTGTTTAAATATCCAGATATCTAGAACTTTTGCCCTGAAGGCCCCCTCTGTGAAGCATTTTTCACTCTGTCCTTGTAGTACTATGCCCTAGCCTATCTTCTACAACTTTAATAGAAGCTTTTTTTTTCATCATATCAGCATTTATCTGAATCACTTCCAAAATTTTTTGTAGTATTTCTCATTTCTCTCATTTTATAGACTAAATCACTAACTTTGCATAAAACTTAAGGATTTTCATCCATGAATAACTATCCTTTTTATTCCATGAGATATAACTATGTGATTATAAAGCCTTCTAGACATTCCTCAACCACTATGTATTGCTGGCTACAAGCTATAACTTTTACTTGTATCTGAACTGAATGTCTTTAAGGGTACCTCCACCAAGACATCAACACCTGGACTATGCAAGTTGGCATTTAATCTAATTAGATTTTCACCTTGTCTGTATCATTGAGCAATTAGGCTATGAAGTGAAATTTCCACAGGGTATTTCCCACTTGCAAATTCTTGTACGACTTCAGCAGAGACAACATGGCTGCTATCCTCAGGCTACAAGCAGGATTGTTAAAAAACAGAGGTTGTAGACATACAGCCTTACTAAAGTTCTTTATCTAATCCAATTTTACAGCTAACAGCCACAGCAACTCCATAATCCATTCATTCCCCTCCACAGCGATTTATTTCAAACTCCTTCCTTCTTTACTCTGGTCCAGCCGTTCCTAAAGCTGAAGATTAGCCAAAGCTGCCTTGTCTCCCTAATTCCATAGCACAGTAAGAGCTTGCTTTAATTCCTTTTATGGTGCTCCAATATCCTAGTTTAGGCCTTATTTCCTCACCTGAAGTGTCTACAAACATGTCACTAATTTAAGCCATAACTAATTTGGCCCTGACAGTTAACATCTTTCTGCCAGTTTCAATTAGTGAGGAGAAACAACTGCTGAAATCAGGTGTCTGTGACGTAAACATGTTTACTTGTAAGGAGGCCAAAAATGCTCTTTTCCCTAGACACAGGTGGCACCAGATAACATGGTGATAGCAGGCTTCTTTCAAACATTTCCAAAAACCTGAAGGTCTTCACCTAACAGTTTGTCTTCCAGAGCAAATGTTGACTGATGCTTTCCCCTTTGCTTTCTCTTCTACCTCTCCTCTACAGAGAGTCCTTTGTCAAGTAACAGCCAGATCCTTAACTCATTAATGTGTTTGTCTTTACACTTTTTTTCTTAGTGGTATAATATTTTTTTCTAAGAAGTGGGAACAGTGATTCCTTTCTCCCAGATTACAGTGTAACAACCAGCATGAAAGTTCTTGTATTTTTTTCTTCTAAAGAAGTAACTCTAACGCACTCTGAAAATAACTTTCCCAACCCTATCAAAATGCAGTGAGCATGACAGTGAGTAACAGAGAGCCCTGCTGCAGCCAGCAAAGCTTATCTATGAGCTGCTCCCCAGGTCCCTGCATAAGTTTCAGCTGAATCATAACTCCCAAGTATCCTTACAGCCAGGATCAAGCAGCATTATCACAGAGCTTATCTTCCCCAGAATCTAAGCATCACTTGGCATTGCTTTACCATGAGGGAAGAACCACATCTCTAATTTATATTAGCACATTCCTGATACACAGTCATATTTCAGTATACCATCAATGAATCTCTCATATAACAACCAACCAAACAACTACAACATCCTTTCAGCAGAACTCTTTCTAGCCTATCTGCTCTTCTGAGTGAGAGACTGTGCCCTTTGGAGTCCTGAGCAGCATCACTGCAGGTATGGAGCCACACTACCAAGTGGATTTCTTCTGGGGCACAGCACCAGCCAGGTGTGCTCTGGACTGCAGCAAGAGCTCTCATGTTTTAAGAGCTATAATTAAATTACCACCTACAATAAAAGACCTGAGGTTAATGAGCTCAGACAGAGAAGCTACGTTGAACCACAAGAAATGAGACAGACCCATAATGAGACATTTTCAACCTTATTAGAAATAAGGCAGATGAAACCAGGCAGCTGACTGGCCTTTTGGTGCCGGAGCTGTGCTCCCCACTGGCAGGGCGCCCTGGGGGTGCTCCCCACGGGGAGGATTCCCTGTGGGTGCCCTGTGGGTGCTCCCCGGGGCAGGGTGCCCTGTGGGTGTCCTGTGGGTGCCCTGTGGGTGCTCCCCGGGGCAGGGTGCCCTGTGGGTGCACTGTGGGCGCCCTGTGGGTGCCCTGTGGGTGCCCTGTGGGTGCCCTGTGGGTGCTCCCCGGGGCAGGGTGCCCTGTGGGTGCCCTGTGGGTGCCCTGGGGGCGCTCCCCGCGGACAGGATTCCCTGTGGGTGCCCTGTGGGTGCCCTGTGGGTGCTCCCCGGGGCAGGGTG